TGGTTTTTTCCAACTATGAGAATAAAAAAGTCATACCCTTGATAAAAGATAAAAGTCCAACAAAAAATGATTTGTATACGGCACTCACACACATAATACACACAAATTTAACGAAACAGTTAAAATATATATAAGAGTTTAAAATAATAATAATAATAATAATACCGATACGCGAGGTTTGCTCGCGTCGACGTTACTGTAAAAACATCGTACGATGCACGATTGTTTTGGTGCAAGGTTCAGAGGATATACAGAGTGTTTTTGTTAATTTATAATTTTTTTCTTTTATTTATTTTAAATTATTTTTATATATTATAATTTTATATTAATATATCCCTATGTTGTTACTTCCATTGTTGTTTTATTTCAGAATGTTGCAATATAACTTACTGAGATTGTTGGTGTCTGTTTTCGAATTTATAGAGTTCTTATTTTTTTGGATCTCAACCATTTCCAGAATTTCCCTTTTTTTTGTATTATTTTCGGTTTTTAGAATTTTTACTTTCGCAAAGTTGAAAGAATGCTTGGTTTCCGCGCAATGACTCTTCAGGGCAGTTGTATTTTTTTTGTCGTATTTGTGACCATTAATTCTGTTTTTAAGATACTGGCTTGTTTGACCGATGTACACACCCTCACAATCGTTGCAAGGTATCTCGTAAATGACGTGACTCTTCTTTTCGTCCGGTATCTTGTCTTTTAATTTACTGAAAATGTTTTTTACCAAATTGTATCCTTTGTGAGCAATAGTAATGTTGTGATTCATAAAAATTTTGCTAAAATTTTCGGACATACTGGGTATATAAGGAAGCGAAAGATAATTTTTTTTTTTGTTTTTGTTGGGTGTTGCTTTTTTGTTTAGTTTGGTTATAGAATAGGTGTATACGTTTTTTGAAAATGGTGTTAATTAATCGTTCCGGATAGTTATTTAGTTTTAATGCTTGTTTTGCTTTAGTAATCGATTTTTCTCTGAAATCCGGATCAGAGAGTTTAATTGCACGGTCAGCCAAGCCAATAATTACGGATTTTTTTTGCGATATAGGGTGCTGGGAGTTAAAATTAACGTATCTGGAAGACCAGGTCACTTTAGTGTACCACTCGGTTTTAATTCCTTTTTTTAAATTATGAAGGGTTAAATCTAAAAAGTTGATTTTACTTTGGGACTCTATTTCTATTGTAAATTGTAATTTCTGATGGTAGCTGTTGAAGAGTTGAAGAATTTCGTGTTGTTTGTTTTTTGGTATTGCCGTTATGCAATCGTCTACGTATCTGTAGAAAAAAGGTATGTCAAAAAGGGCATTGCTAAGGACCGACTCCTCCAAATCTTCCAGTACAATTTGTGCGATGGCACCCTATATCGCAAAAAAAATCCGTAATTATTGGCTTGGCTGACCGTGCAATTAAACTCTCTGATCCGGATTTCAGAGAAAAATCGATTACTAAAGCAAAACAAGCATTAAAACTAAATAACTATCCGGAACGATTAATTAACACCATTTTCAAAAAACGTATACACCTATTCTATAACCAAACTAAACAAAAAAGCAACACCCAACAAAAACAAAAAAAAAATTATCTTTCGCTTCCTTATATACCCAGTATGTCCGAAAATTTTAGCAAAATTTTTATGAATCACAACATTACTATTGCTCACAAAGGATACAATTTGGTAAAAAACATTTTCAGTAAATTAAAAGACAAGATACCGGACGAAAAGAAGAGTCACGTCATTTACGAGATACCTTGCAACGATTGTGAGGGTGTGTACATCGGTCAAACAAGCCAGTATCTTAAAAACAGAATTAATGGTCACAAATACGACAAAAAAAATACAACTGCCCTGAAGAGTCATTGCGCGGAAACCAAGCATTCTTTCAACTTTGCGAAAGTAAAAATTCTAAAAACCGAAAATAATACAAAAAAAAGGGAAATTCTGGAAATGGTTGAGATCCAAAAAAATAAGAACTCTATAAATTCGAAAACAGACACCAACAATCTCAGTAAGTTATATTGCAACATTCTGAAATAAAACAACAATGGAAGTAACAACATAGGGATATATTAATATAAAATTATAATATATAAAAATAATTTAAAATAAATAAAAGAAAAAAATTATAAATTAACAAAAACACTCTGTATATCCTCTGAACCTTGCACCAAAACAATCGTGCATCGTACGATGTTTTTACAGTAACGTCGACGCGAGCAAACCTCGCGTATCGGTATTATTATTATTATTATTATTTTAAACTCTTATATATATTTTAACTGTTTCGTTAAATTTGTGTGTATTATGTGTGTGAGTGCCGTATACAAATCATTTTTTGTTGGACTTTTATCTTTTATCAAGGGTATGACTTTTTTATTCTCATAGTTGGAAAAAACCAAAACAATAATATTTCTAGGCACTATGACAAAACCAAACGCTTTTAAAGTATAAACTTTCATATGATGCTACCTCTTCAATTTTAAGATTTGTGTTTGTCTCTTTTTGGTAAGGTTCTTTGTAATTCCGTTGTGTATATGTAAAAAAAAAAGAACTGTACTATAACATAATTTTAGACTGTACCCCTTTCTGAAGAAGGTCATAGAAGACCGAAACGTCAATATATGGACAAAAAAAATTTTAATCGCTTTTAATACAAAGACCTATAACCCAAGAACCAAAAGCTAAACATATATATATATATATATATATATATATATATATATATATATATATATATATATATATATATATATATATATATATATATATATATATATATATATATATATATATATATTTTCACGTATTGATTCACGGATGGAAAAATGTGATGACACTATATTCGGGGATATCATCCGTTCGCTTGTTGAACTCCGACTGGAATCCTGCAGACGTTTCGCCAAAATCTCACTTGGCATCTTCAATGCTCGCGCTCCGCTGTGTTCGAAGTGCTTTCGGAGCGCGAGCATTGAAGATGCCAAGTGAGATTTTGGCGAAATGCCTGCAGGATTCCAGTCGGAGTTTAACAAGCGAACGGATGATATCCCCGAATATAGTGTCATCATATATATATATATATATATATATATATATATATATATATATATATATATATATATATATATATATATATATATATATATATATATATATATATATATATATATATATATATATATATATATATATATATATATATATATATATATATATATATATATATATATATATATATATATATATATATATATATATATATATATATATATATATATATATATATATATATAGTAGTACTTGTAGTACTAATTTTCTTTTATTACACTAGTACTACTATCAAGAGACGCTCAATAGACGTTAATTGTGATTTTGAGTGACAGATTTACGTATTGCGACTAAATGTTGAAGTAAATATCCAATTGTGACAAACCAACCTTAATGCAGTAATTCTTCTATTAAACTTGAAATTGTCGACCTTGTTTAGATTCAGTTATGTAGTACGCTAATGATAGTGCGAGTAAGATGTATACGCGAATTTCGATTTCCACTCGTGCAAAAATGAAACAAAATATTAATCGGCGTCCTAATTAAAATCGTAAAACGTTAAAAACAAAAATGTAGGCTCGCGATTATTGGGAGCTTTTCATGCTCACAATGTAAAAGACGAAATTAACGATGGCAAGTTTAATAAATCCGTGGGCTGATAAAAAATAAGAAGCGCGAAAACTGAATTATGGCAGACGGCTCTGCAACATGCAACAAAGCACTTACGAAGTTCTTGTGCGTCGTTAACAACTGTTGTTATTAACATAGCAACGTTAATACGTACCATACGTAAAGATTTTACGGCGAGAACGCGCATGTAAAGGAAGTCTAATCCTTGTTTTTTCAATACTAAACTCGTAATTACCCCCCAATCAAACGATTAATTACAAATGTTCTCATGCGCGAAAATAAAAAACACAATAATAAAAAGCGCTTATATGGTGCTTACGTGACTGGGCCACTGCATACGATATACGTACGTGTCGTGTGTACTATTGTTCCGAGAATGGACACGATCTTGATAGTGTCTTTAATTGTTTTTTGAAACATTCGTTTCAACACAATGGACCTTCCTTCGATATCTCGGGGGGTCTTACACACGATTGCATTTGCACAGAATATTGCATAAAATATTAAAGAGTTTGGTTATTCTCTGAACATATTCCCGAATACGTCTTTAGACGATACAGCACTGTAAAAAATAGCTTTTTTTTTTAAATTACAAATTACAAATACCTTTGTTTAAAAAAAAAAGGTAACTGATGCTAGAATTTAATTTCAAAATAATTTCCAAGTTCCAAAATTAAATAACTCCGAAACCAGAATTTCTTTTTTGCTCTTTGTGGAAAACTGTTTAAAAAAATACTCTAGTCGAATGAATTAAAAATATCTGTATAATAAAAAGTTTGGGGCCTGTATAGCGATGGTCGTGTACAAAATATTAAACTTTTGCCAGAAGTCAATCAAATGTATTTGTGGTCTAACTGTCACTTCGGTATCTTAAGCCATTACAGAAATATTTTTTGGGGTTCCTCTTACTGAAGTCAACTCCAACTTTCACAGTTTAATACCGTAAAGGCTAAACACACAATGAAGCATAAAATTTTCAACAATTGAAACAATAATTGAGCAATTATTGTTAAATAACAAGGGTTCCATGTCTGACGAATGTTCAGATAAAATGTCATCTTAAAGGAAATTATATAACCTTTTATAAGTCTTGAAAAATCAATGAACTGATCCTCGACCACATTTTGTCGAAACCAAAAATCCGGAACAAGGTTTCGTTTTTCTTGGTTTCTTTATTGCCTTTTTTTATGAGATACTACAAATTACCCTTGTAGATCCATGGCACGCTTTGATTTTTAACCTCAACTTTGACGGTTTCGGACGCACAGTTTTACAGCCAAAAAGATAATTTAATTTTATAGCAAATGAAGTTTATATAAGCAAGAACAATACTTACATAGTGTTGAGGGTTATGCGAGGGCAGTGGCAGTAAACTGGGCGGGTGGTGCGAGGGCGATAGGATCATGTGACGCAGAGTACCGTTTTCGTCGACGATCTGCTGCACCACGTGACCCGGCGGAACTTGTACCGGCATGGCGATGGGCGGCGAGGAATTTGTCGAGACCATGGGTACCGTCACCGGACCTGCAAATACCAAACGCACCAATCAAGTACAAATATAATTTTCAACGCCTGTAAATGATTAAAAAGTTAAATGTGCTCGTATCAGCGAAGGCAAACAAGCGAATGAAAACTGTAAAATATTTGCTCGAGTGCTGAGTAAAGGAAATGAAGTTTACAAAAAAACATATAACTCGGCTTGCTTTTGACAATATTAGGATGAGCCTGAGTTTATCCGTAGAAAATATAATAAATTCAAGTCATGCAAAAAATTGCAAGAACTGTTTAAAACATATAGGTTTTATACAATATCTAAAGTATTGTATTATAGTATTATCCAACAATTTGAACCACTTGTGTGACTAAGCTGGCTAGATCATGAAAGCAAACTTTGAGAGAAGAAATAAATAAATAAATAAATAAATAAATATATATATATATATATATATATATATATATATATATATATATATATATATATATATATATATATATATATATATATATATATATATATATATATATATATATATATATATATATATATATATATATATATATATATATAAGCATGACATAGAAACGACTTAAGTCACATAAAAATATAAAATTAACCTTGTTTTAAAACCGACTTAGGTACTTACCCACTATAACAATAAATTATAATAATTTTTTGTCTTTTTCTAGTTTTTATGAATTCTCTGTCTGATCGCTTGAATTGTATACGATGTCATTAATAATTTTCGATGCAACGATATTATTCAGTGTGAATTAGAGTGCTATATTTGTACAATGCAAATAGGTAACCCTATCCGCTCTGTGTGTATTTCTAACGTTTTATAGTCTAGTTTACCCACGTTTACCGGACATCCAGAATTGGGAGCGATTTCCTGAAATTGCCGACAAAACCTATCCTTTATTTATTGTTTCGTAAAACTGTCGATTAACCACACTTCTGGGCTGCAGTATGATCGAATACAACGGATGTAAATGCTTTGTGCGTTTGTGGCAACACATATTTAGTCATGGAAAATAAAAAATAAGGAAGTTTATAACAATAAAAAAGCTTATATAAAATAAGTGAAGCGAAAACTTTACAGCAAGATTTCATTGCCTGCTTTCCTTTTGCCATCACGGGAAAGAAAAGTGTGTTGGATAAAAAGCCTACAAGTGTTCACGATAGCGTTATTAATCTGAACTCGCATGTGTAAATCAGTACAAACAGCTTACTCATCGAGCTTAATGAAAAGATGGAATTCCCAAATCTTTAACATATGGCTGCTCGGTATGAGGAAACTCAAGCTGCACAAATGACGTCGTCGCGTGTTATGCGATTGACGCCACTTTTAACGTTGTGTAGGGACGAATGAGGAATCAAAAACCCTTACTTATTAACCTTATGGTGACAAGGGGAAAAGATTCCAAATGACACATAGAACATATTACAGTGCAAACTTTGGTTTATGTGTCAATTTATTTTCACAAACACCAAAATATTTTGTAGTTTTGTTTGTAATAGCTGTAGCGATTTAAATAATGCAATTTATTCAATGTTATGCAAATTTTTACTATTTTTCTGGTGAGTTTTGATTATAATTTTACGTCATTTAATAAAACAATATTACTTGAGTATTATTAATTTATGTAAGAAAAGGGTTGGTCTTGTGAACTTTACAACAAACGAACACGCCAAACACTAGCTAATTAAAGCGTGCCACTTGTAAAAAGTAGATTTAATTTTTTTTTAACTAATTTTTTATTAACATAATATAAACGAATGTTATGAGGTCTTGCTTTGATATTTGGTAATGAAATTTAATGTTTCGTCGATTTTTTTTATGTAAAGGTACTAGTGCAATTTTTATATTTCATTACTCACCTTGTATACCGTATCTCACAAACAACCGTATCGCGTTCTTATGCGAAAGCTTTCTGTTTTGTAGAGAATTCACTAAGGAATCATTCCTTTAGAGACTTAATTAACTCCCTGTATAATGTGAATCTTTTCTAACTGCATAATTCACCGTTCTCGGTCAGTGCAAGGATTTCCAGCATTAAGTAGTGCCAACCACTTGTTGACAAAAGAATGTTAATGATTTGTTTGTCGTCTCCAAGCCAAACAGCATAACATCATTAAGTAGGTCATACGCGTAACGGTCAATTCTTAAGATAAAGATTTTTTCCGTAACACAATCGCTATCGTATGAGATCTTCCGAGCACTAGTATTCTAGTTTTTCATTATATTTTTTCTAACTGAAGCCGGAAAGATAGGAATGTTAATTCAACGGAAATTAAAGCAAAAAACAATAACAGGTCTGCTTTGTTGTGGCGTCGTGTGTGGAGAACTTTGTCCTGTGTGAAATTTGCATTGCGTATCTCTTCGTTCTCGAAAAATAAGCGTCACCATGGTGACAAGACATTCAAAAAACACTTGCAACTCACTCTCGCAAGTGGTTCGATTTTCTTCTCGATTTTCTCCCAATTAACAGAGTTTTTGTTGGATTTGATTCGTCACTACTGAAGATTTATTAGACTTTAAACTGAAAATTACTGATATCCTCATTTTTATTGCTATTTATTATGCAAAGCAGAAAAGGAAGAACATTTTCTTATGTTCAAAGAAGTAGTTCATTAGAACCAATAAATTCTGCATTGAGTTTACACTACTAGCAAATTTTCTAAATTGCTATAATTTTAATGGTAATTTTCGTAATCAGAAAAAAGCCTTTATATAGTATCATTAAAAAGTAAGCGCGTTTCTAACTTTAGCCTTTCGGTTTTCAATAATATAAAAAAAGTGTTTCATTCGATCTTTTAGCTAAGAAAAATTGAGCCATTTAACAGTGTAGCAAAATTAATTAAAAATAAATAATATACACAGCCGGAAAAGTTTGGAGAGTATCTACACAAATTCAGTTCTGATCAGCCTAAAGAAGTTTTAAACTTGATAAAATTTTCGGAAAAAAAATCTTAACTTTTTCGTGTCCATATTTCAAACTCTTTATCAATTTATGTCATTTTATGAAATGGACCTTATCTGAGTATCGGTACGAGCTGTTGATTCATTGCGCAACCATTTTGATTCGGTTAGCAGCAGATGATTTAAGTTCGTCGCTGACAGTTCCGGTTTTGGCACGGATAGTAAGTAAGCCTTTGATTCGTAAAAGAAATTTATTACAATCGTAAATTAGCGTACGGTATATTTTTAAAACAGCTCGGCCAAATTTTTCTACAGACTTGAGTGCAATAATATATGTTGCCTGGCGTCTTCTCTTTTTTTCTCTCGTATTACGGTGGACAAATTGTATAGTGCTGGAATGCGGTATCCTGGCAATCAGTGAAAGGAAAAAGTGATGAAAAAGGAAACGAAAACGACGATTGTTATAATAATAAAATGTATTCACATATCGGAATTCCAGAAACACGAATACATAAATAATGTTTAACAGTATGTGAACAAACTATCACGGAAATAGTACAATTCTACTACAATTCACAAAAATTCACAAAATATTTTTGAGGACAACGAGATATGTTCAAAAAGTAAGGTCACTTTTTAGTTTCATCAAAAAGTATTTATTTATTCATCAAAATTAACGATTAATGATATAATTCACTTGTGCCAACGTTTTTTCCAATCCTAGAAGAACTTCGGGTAAGCACTTTCTGGTTTAGCGTTGAGTTCTTTCAGCGATTTCTTATGGGTTTCCTCAATCGTTCCAAACCTCCTTCCCTTCATAGGTCTCTTGAGTTTTGGGGACAGGAAAAAAATCGCAATAGGTGCCGTATCCGGCGAATATGGTGGCTGAGACATGATTTTGGTTTTGGTTTTGGCCAAAAAGTTAAACACAAGCAACTATGAGTGAGGAGGTGCGTCATCGTTATGCAAAATACACGAATTTTTTTCCCAGAATTCCGAAAGTTTTCTTCGGATTGCTGTTCGCAAACGGCAGATATCTGACCTTTTGATAAGAAAGAAAACAGTAAGATTTTTTTCGGGTCTTGGCGATTCTGGGTTCTTCCATTGGGAGGACTGGGTTTTAGTTTCGACGTCATATACCCATGATTCGCCAGCAGTTATGATCTTTTTGAGCATATCAGGATCATCATTGACGTCGTTTAACGCTCTTTAGACGATCCTTTTGTTCAAAATTAAGCAGTTTCGGAACAAAACTTGCTGCTACACGTTTCATTCCCAAAACTGCGGTAAAAATTGCATGATACGAAACAATAGAGATGATGCGACTTCGCCAGCCACTTCTCTTTCGACGATTCGACGATTTTTCAACACCTTTGGTTTCAGTTTTTGTGCTGGGGCGTCCATAGCGAGATTCATCACCGGCGTCTTCTCGGTCATCTTGAAACAGTTTCTACCACTTATAAACATTTTTTTTGCTCAAAGTAGATTCACCATACGCCATTGTCAACATTTTTCAAGTGTTTTGCAGCACTTTATTCCATTTTTTACACAAAATTTTATGCAAATTCTTTGTTCCATTTTTTTGACAGCAGAAAATCACCGAGCACACAAAACACGTCTAACGCTCCTGTCCTGTCCATATTTTTAATTTATTTCTACGTTTTTTTCCTTAATATACAATTGACTCAAGATGGGCGACACTATTAATAAATACGAAGCGTGAAACAAGACATATTTCAAGTTCAAGTTATTTAGGAAGTTGTAGGATACATCGGTATACCGCAGATTGGCAGCGAGTTCGTTACCTGTTGTAACTGTAACATACTATTATCACTGATTACCAACAATTTTACCAAAAAAAGCAGGTTTCCATGGCAACATCAAAAAAATACTTAATAAAAAGTGAACGCGAAGTTTTACAAAGTGTGAACTGTCAACTATCAACCGTTTGTTTACAATTAATAGAACAAAAACACACAAAAAACAAATTTTAATTTCGAGTTGAAGTCAAAATGTCCTGATTTCTCTTATCTAAACCCATTCTGTTCTAAACAAAACAAAAACAAAATGATACAGTTTTGCACGAGTTTTCCCAGTCGTGGA